ATGAAAAATTTTCTTCATAGGAAGTTTGAAAGACTATGATTATTTAGCTTTCTGAAAAGTGATAAAACAAAAGCAGCATACAAGTACTGAATATGTTTATTCATTGTATATGATCATAATATGACATTTTATATTTCTTTCCCAGTGGAAACAAAGCCAAATGAGCCAAACCTCAAAAAGAAGTGTAAATAAAAAACCTTCTTATAATGTATCTGCAGAATTCACAACTGTAAAGCTGAAACAGAATGTGGATTAATTCATCTATATAAATTTATTTAAGTGGCCTTTTTATTTCCAGGGCTGATAGAAATATATCTGTATCAGCTAGATTAAAAATTCACAGAAGTTTTGAAAACCTGTTTTCGGGGGGGCGGGGAACCAAAAAAAGACCACCAAACAAGAAAACCTAGACAGTCCATAGTATAGGAAATTTTTTTCCCCACATGCTTTCTGCCACTGCCATATTGGAAAGAAATAAAAGGACCATTTTAACCAGCACATTTTCACAGTTTTATTTTAAAACCCTTAGGTAAGTCTTAGGTGATTTTGAACTTATATTTTTGCTTTAAATGAAAATCATCCTAAACTTTTGTTCTGTAATTTTGGGTAAACAGAAGGCTTGTGAGCAAACTAACCATTTAATGAAAAAAACCTCACAGTTCTGTACAAAATTCCATTTTGGAATTTATATTTTAGACATGATTTAGGTTTTTTTTAGATTAAAAACGTTTCATGTGGCAATTTTCATGCAAAAGAGATAAATATGCTTCACATAGAACAAGTACTTAAGTAGTTCAACCATCAATGCAAATACACTATGAACTTTAAAGGAACTATTTCAACAGCAATAGTTAGGGTTTAAGGACATCAGTAAGGTGCGTAAAACAAAGCGATTTGGAAATATTTTAGTTACAGCAAGTGTAACACTAAAATATTTCCATTTTTGCTGAGAACACATGGTGCACCTATCAGTTTGGGAAGTGATCCTGATAACGACACCATCAACCTTAATAAGTAATTACCAGATACATTTTAAGAGATTCTCAATGCTTTTTAAGGTTTTGAAATCTGAACAAGAATATTGGTAGAGTAACAAGGTAGAAACTTCCCTAATACTGCCCTGTCTTGATAAAGAAGAACATTTTATGATACCCATCTCTTGCATCTATATCTTTCAAAACCTCATTGGATAAATATGCTTTACAGGTTTTTGTATAAAATGTGTTTCAGAGAAAAAAGCTTCAGGAACCAAGACCTGAATTATTTTAAGTTGGCTTTCTCAGCCACTGAAATAGTATAATGATGTTTGACTTCTGCAGAAAGTTATATAATTTATTTCAATATTCTTGCAACAGTTTCCTGTCATACAATCAACTTATCTTCCACATCCATGTATTTTAAGAAGCCTTATATACATACAAAATTATTGTATATATCTTATCTAATGAATTATCAAGTATTCAGACAGATGTGAGTACTGGCTTTCACAATGCCTGTGACATTACTTTTCCTCCTGTTTCATCACAAATGAAAATCATCGCTATCAAAAACTGATTTATAAATACAGCTGCTCAAAAGGTAGAATAAAAAAAAAGTCAAAAGACATTGGTCTGTTGTGGTCCTCAGAATTAGTGAAAATGCCCTTGGTTTTGCTATAAATATTCAAATGGCACATAAAATTAAAATCTCAATAATTTGGGTATACAAATCAGTAACTCCCGAGTTATGCTGTACAAGCATTTTGGGCAATCAGTTGTAACACAGATGTACAGAAGCAACTTTCTTGAATACTCAAGAAAAAAAAATTACACTGTATTATAGCATATACTATCGTTATAACATATGCTTTGTGTTGTGTAACAGTAAATTCCACCTAAGCGCAGAAGGCACATGCCGCCATTTCATGAAGCTATATTACACAAGTAATTAACACTGAGTATCTACAAAAGCATTTCCTATTTTCAACTACACCGTAGCTAACACAACAGCAGAGCACAGTGCCTCATCAGAGTATCTGTCTCCACTACTTCTTTGTGGCATGGGAGAATATAACACTGGCATTACAGCACCATTTTTTTTTTTTTCCATAGAATCAATCCAAATCTTAAAAAATACAGCCAACCAACAAACAGAAAAGTATGCTGCATATTCAGTTCTGTCTATAGATAGCACTTTGCAGTTACAGCTATAGAAGTCAAGCAATTAAGTATTTGGAAGTTACGGCTGTGCATTCCTCACCTAACTATGTAGTCACACTGTATATTACCATATAAACTTCTCTTTGTGAGGGGCAAAAGATGAAAAGTGCTCACATAATAAACTGGAGAATAGAACTAATTTATTTTTTTTTTCCAGCATGACATCATGTCTTAGATTAGCATTTGAATGATAATGTAAGAATTAGATGTCTTACAGTACTCATGAAATCACTACCCTACTTCCTCACAAACATCTCCAATGAGATGATTCAGTAATATTGAGCGAATACTGCTGCATCTCCTAAGTGATTTAGCATTTTGTAGGATTCTATTTATCATAACTTCAGAATATTAATTTTCACTGATCCGCATTGTGAGTTCCCAGAAGTAACACCTTGAAAGCAACCTGGGCACAGAGAGACAGAGTAACAACCAGTGAAAAATGGAACCAAGTTTCTCAGCGTGTGTAAGGATTGTGTAAGAGGCAAACTTATTCTTCAAGGATGGCCTCAACAGTGAAACAATCTTTTCTCTTCTTGTCCATTACACACTTTTAAACCTCCCCAGCAAATTAAGTCAGCACCTTACAAACAATCTGTCCACAGGCAAAGCAGATTTCTTCCCCTAATCATTTTGTCTCTCTGAACAAGGTGGGAAGTTTTCATTACACATATTCCACAACTTCCATCCCTCTGTTCTTGACCCAAAGTTGTTGCTTCAAAGTGCATTTGAAACAAGTTAACAGCATTTTCACAGATGAGAAACTGAGGCTCCAGTGCCCAGATTCATCATGTCATTCATGTATTTGATCAAAGCACCAAAGCTGGAGTCCCCCTGAGCTCTCTCCAGTCAGAGACCTTTGGCAGTCTGACCTTCAGCTCTCTTGTCTGGATTTCTAATTTATGCAGTTTAATCAGGTGCCTAAGGATGAGCATGAATTCATCCTTTAGGAGTACTAAGCCAGAGATACAAAGGAGATGAGAACACTAAACCCAGGTCTCAAAAGTAGAACCCTACCTACAATATCACATTGCCTCCTGAAATTCCTAACATCTTAGTTTTTGAATACTTGACCTTGCAACTTTAAAATATGAATATACTTTCAGATGTAAGAAGAACACAAACACAAAGTCAGCAGTTGGAGCATATTTATGCACTGTATAGATCTTTACTGTATGAACACAATAAGCAGCAGCTGATTCTCTTCACTTCAGAACACATGCTTTGCCAGTGATTTCACTGACCAGAAGGGGAATCCAGCTTCATTTTCAAAGCCTGAAATAGGTACAAAATACTGCCCCATCTTCCCCCTCCCGCTTTTTTAGGCCTGCCAAAGCTTACCCTTGTCTTAGGTTAACCGTAAGTGCAAAAGTCTTTCTAAAAACACTTTCTACCACACAATCATTTTAATTCCCTTGCTGTAGCACCACTTCCAGAACTTAGGCAAAGAAGGCCACCTCTGTGCCCTCTTTTCACTGTGTAAGATGTACATAAAATGGAAAAGGAAGTTGCTCTACTCTCTACTTTTGCTCGCTATAACATAGCCACCTTGGCTACCAGGGGCAAGTTCACCTCATTTTAGCAGCTCTAGACAAGAGCATAACCCAGTCAGACTCTTATGGGTAATTCTGCCACCATTTTCTAACAAACCTGTGGTTATCACTGGCACTACATCAGTCCCCTATCAAAGGCCCTATTTCAAACCATAGAAGTACTTTAAGACTTGACAGAACTGTTTTTAATTTTTTCTTTATAAATGGATAATGCATTTCCACTTTCATTTCACTTAACTCTGAAAAACCACTAAAATATCCCTAAATTTTCCCCAAAATTCTGAGTAATATGAGACCAGAGTGGAAGAGAAGAAATTGGCATCTAACAACTCCAATTAGCAGCAATCTTTAATGGCATATGCTTCTAGAGCATATACTTCTCGAGCATATACTTCTCAGTGCAACTGGGGTTGTATTTCCCCCATGAACATTATGCCATCCTTCGTAAAAAAACAAATACATTTGACAAATAAAGAGAATTATCACAAAGGAAAGAGGCAGCAGTGTTTGAACCACAAACACTGCTGACAGGCCACCTTTAACTCAAATCTGTATTAAATCTAAAATCCAATTAATGTAACTTGTTGAGTTGGTTGGTTGGTTTGTTTTGGGGGTTTTTTGTGTGCTTTTTTTTGGTAGCGGTTCTTAGATAAACAATATCTTCCATATTCTTAAAATGAGATTGTCCTTTCTCCCACTAATCTTCCTACCAGATGGGACAACTCCCCTCCTACAGGCAAACTGGCTAGCAACATGCACTTCTATTTTAAAATTTAATTTTCAAATTCTAAATTAATATTTACAAGGTATCACCCAAAAACTCTTCTCTTAATGTACAGCGAACTATACTCAAAACATCAAAAGTTACTTGTCCATGGACACAAGAAGCACGTAAAAAACAATTTATGTAATAAAGTCTTGGTAGAAGTCAACTCAATTTTCAACAGTTTTAAAATATGATCCTGCAATGTGTTGCAAAGAATCTATCTGGAATTAGTTTGTCCATTCTCTAAAATATTAACTTTCATGCAATGCATGGCATGTGGAGCACAAATTATCCTGAAATAAGTACATACACACTTATGTGGGATTGAGGAAATGGTTTCTGAAGCAGATTTTTCACTTGTTAGCCATAAACTCTCATACCCACTGATGAAAAAAAAAAGCATTATGGACAACTAGATGTTCATCTTAAACATCTGCTGACATTGGACATGAGGAAAACAAAATATACTGAAAAGCAGCTTGATTTATGTATACAAAGACAGTTTATAAACTTTTGCACAACATTAAAGTCTTCTGTGGAACAAAAACAACAAATCGCTTGGAAGGAAGAAGTGCAACAAAAAAGAATCTTTGCTGAAGCCAAGCATGGAGCAGAGAAAGTAGTTAAAACTCAGGCTGAATCTCTCTTTCAGAATATTCGGAACCATTTAACTAGAGAGCAGCATCAAACTGAACTACCCCATATTTTCCATTTACCATCCATTCAGGTTCAGAAGCCTGAATTTGTTCACCTTGTCCAGGTTTTAGGCCAACCTGAGTGTCAGATTTCAGTGTTCTCAAACTACAGAGGGGCGCAGGATGAAACTTGTTCAAGGCTTGATGAAATGGAACAGTATATTCCCATTTTCTATCTCCTGTTAACTTTCTATAGTTTAGATCACCTTTGAAAAGAAGCAAGTTTGACTTCTGTAGATCAGCATACAAGTCAGGAGCAACTTCAGCCATACTGGAAAAGTCATGTGGCAAAGTCCAAAACATGTGATCACGGTAAACCCAAACTCCCTTTTTCAAATTGCCCTCCCAGTTTATCCCACATCTAGACATCCACATATGATTAGCTGACTGCAGTTGTTTAACAGTCCAGTTAAAATCATGCTTTGTGGTATCTGACACATACCATGGAATACTTTTTCCATGAAAATGGACTTCATCAGCTAGCTTTGATGATACCAGGAAGTCAGCCAACACAAGATCACTTACAAGTTCAAATCCAGCATTATCCAGGATTATGTCAACTCTAACATTACTTTTTTCTGTATTTCTTTTTCTGGCATTTACAAGTAGTGACCAAATTTTTTCCATATCATTCACTAAGATGTAAGGAATCATGTTTTCCAGGGACTGTAAAGGACTAGATTTCTGAGAGCTGTCTTCACCAGCTGAAAAAGAAAGGTCACACTTATTGCCCCACAATGACACCTAGAAGGAGGAAAAAACAAAAACATTTGCTAAGTCTCACTGTAGTTACATTCTAAACTTCACACACGCTAAAGATTTTGTTTGTTTGTTTTTATTTTAGGCACATGAAGGCTCTAACTCTACATTTTCCTGCAAGCTTTAATAAAATTCAACTTCTTGTACAGAAATCTTTATATAGAGAAGAAACCAAACAATGCTCTGTATTTATGCAAGCATCAGAAATATGCATCAGAAGTGACAAAGATGGAAGATTTAGATAAACGTAAAGACACTGACCACAAAGCTTAAACCCCAAATATTCTCCATACTATAATTCCAGAAAATATCATTGGGAACACAGAAAAAGGAGTAATAAAAGCAGGTTTATGTTTTTATTACATGCAGCCCAGTAAGAACTAATGAGGTCTTTATAAAGATTCATCAAATACTTGGTGTGCACTGTTGCCAGCTAATGGACTTATTTGCAATCGTATGATATTCTGTATTCTACCCAAAGGCATTATTTTCCAACAATAATGCAGTTATAAAGTTTTTAAATCACTTGTGGCCCAGACTGACTTCTAACTTTTTTTCCCAAAGAAGTCTAAAAATTTTTAGACTGTCAATAAAATGAACTGTTTTAAAATTTTATAGTTAAATAACAAAAAGCCATATCTGGAACTTAAAATTAGAGATACTGGTTTTGAGGGAGAATAAGCTGGGTTTTCAAATACACAATGAAGACCAGCAGTATAATGAAAAATGTCACATTTAATACAAGTAATAAAACTTAAATATTTCCCCGAGTAGCAGCAATACAGTATGGCTGTCAGGATTTCATTGCATTTTTACAAACAGAAGAGCTATATTTTAATTTCCATATGAAGTTCAGATTCTTTATAACATCAAGTTTCTGTTTGTTACATAGGAGAGATATTTTAAATTCTTATGTTAAGCACTACTAGTTTACCTGCAATAGCTTAAAAAGTTCCTCCTGAAGTTGCTTTTCGTCTAGATCCTTGACGTTTTTTAGAAGTTCCTGAAAGTAAGTGCATAAGGCAATAACAGCCTCTTGGGATTCAAAGAAATTTTGTGCCTTTCCTTCCTTAAATACGTCAAAGTTGTCAATAGGTGGGCTAAAAGGAGAACAAATATATTAACATACTTGCCACATTTTCCTTGACAGAACATGAAACACACCTTAAAAGTGCAAGCTTGAAGATCAGCTTTTTTAGGCCGTGCTACTGGCCCTAGTTATATTTTCCACTTCTAATTGGTCATACTAGATTTTCACACATCTCAATAACAACCTGATATCATACCTCGCTGAAACAGACAGAATAGAAGACATCTTATATTTCTAGCAATATATTCTGAAAATGAACAAGCATTCAGTCACAATTCTGGGAACTGCACATACAGTGACAATTTTGAACTCCAGCCTTCAGACAGAGAGAATTAAAACTGTAACATACAAGTGAACTAATGTAGTGAATTGCTGGCCCAATTTCAAGCATGATTGTGTGTGCTGAAGTGCACTTCCCATACCGAAGTCTCTTACAGTGATATGAAGTTATTCTTATGAAAGTTTTTAACTAGGACGTTAGAAAATTAACATGACAAAGATGACAAAACAATTAAGTTCTTGTATTATATAAGAAATATAGACTCATCTGTTATGAGACATATTTGCAGGTACACCTTTTGACAAATGATTGAACTTCCATGCAAGCACATGCTTAAGAGCAGGTAAGTAGTGGAGATCAAGAAACTTAAAGCTTACTAATGAAAAGTATCTGCTCAGGTTTTTTTAAGTGCAATCCAGCAAATCCATCTCATATTTGAAGTTTTTGCTACGAGAGTTCAAATTACGCAATATACCAGTAGAAACAGAGTCCCATTACTGTGGTTGCGTCTCTGTAACACTAAGGGCAAATCCAGTACGCACGGAGCTTTCAATTTTCTTTGGCAGCAGCGGGAACTTAAACTGCTCATTCCTACCCCATTACATTGTGCTGGCACCTCTCCACAGTACCAGCACAACAAGTTTTTCCTGCCAAGTTATTTTTAACCAGGATCAGCTCCCAAAGTTCGGTGCAACACATGCAACACCGTTGTAACTAAGACGACTGTGCAGAATGAACAACAGGGGCTGCTTAAGCTGGGTCTACTGCTATGAGAAACAGTTCTCAAATGGTAACTTCAGATTTCGAGCAGCAGAACAAGTTAGAATGCCCAACAGATTAGTGGCTCTTGCATTCTGTGTTTTAGGCTAACATATGTCTTAAGATATAATTCTAGACTAACAAACCTTTCAAAAATGCTAAATAACTTTCATGTTTCAATGCACATTAGTCTGCAAGATGGTCAAGCTACACAGTCAAGCTTAAGAGTTTTAGTGTAGACCAAGTCACAGAAACTGAAGCGTACAAAAAACCTAATAAGCTTCAAATTCTGCTGCATGGAAGAATAAAAAGTATTAATTTTAAATCTGAGGTGTGAGACAAGGGAAAAGGAATATGGTAAAAGCTTAAGATTTTCCTTTGTCTTACTCTCCAGCTTAAGATTTTCCTTTATCTTACTGCATTATTCCTTTCTCCTAAAATAAAAATGGGAAAGAATAATAATGTTTTGCAGAGTAATATACCAAGCTAGTAAATACTTACTTCTGTGCTAATGCTGCATGAATTCTTCGATACATGTAACACTCTACATATAACCAAGGGGACTGAAACCAACTCGATTCTCCATTTCCATTTGATAAATTTCGTTGGTAGTCTAGGTATTGGTTCCACAGTGGAGCATCAGGCAGCTCATCTTCTAGAGGGGTCACTGGTTTGTCTGTTTGCAGTTCATTCCGCAGTTTGGAGAGGAAAGAGATAGCTCTCTTCTCTGCTTCAACACCCTTCTGAAATAAGTGGAGAACAAAAGTTCCTATTCTGAACATTTATTCCTGTAGAGACACAGATCAATTTTTCATGAAAGATACAAGTGATAAGTTTTGCCAAATTGCCAAATACGAGTCCCCGACAAATCAGAGATTGATTCAACCAAACACATTTTGGTCAATGAAGCTCATTTTACACCTAACATCCTAAAACGAATCGTGCGTGGGATTTTTTTTCAGATTGAACTTTTTGCATATTAAAGGGGAACAGAGTATTAAAACATTGCCACGTTCAGAAGATGCTACAGTCTTTTAAACTCTGCATCAACTCAAAAGCCTGAGAAAGTGAAGCAGTTGCAGGACAGAGAGATCAGAAAAAGGTTAGACAGAAAGGCGAGTTGCAAAATTAATGAAAAATAGCTACAAGAAAGAGATGATAAAGCAAAAAAAACGACAAAAAGATTAAGACAGACAAGTAACGACTGTAGTAAGAAACCAGGAAGAACAAGGCAGAGGAGGGGTCTCAAGGGTTAGAGGGGAAAAAAATCTCAGGCAAAAAGAGACCTTAGTCTTACCTCACCATGTTCTTCAAAAAATTCATTTTTATGTCGATGCAGAGTATCAATAACTCTTGTGAGGATCTGGGGCAGTCTGTCTTTAATTGTAAAATATGCAAAGGATCTAAAAAGGAGAGGATCAAAATTTTATTATTGAGAGGAAATGATGAAATATCTTCTGTTTTTTAAAATAAATGCAAGGTGATAAAAGTAAGTTTATGGGCCTTTAAAGCAGCGGACACCAATAAAAAACAAACAAACAAATCTCAAATTGGTCAGGTTCTTAGGTCTACTTTTGAAGAAAAAGATTTTGAAGATTTTTGAAGAAAAAGGCAGCCTTTTCAGGGAAGAAAATGCTAAGTGACTGTCCCTGCCGAAAGAGCAAAAATTGCAGTTAATTCTAGGCTAAAATGCATTCTGTAATTGCTCAGTTACCCAGATGTAAGGTCAAGGAAATTTAAAATTAAAAGCATAGAGGTTTGTTTAAAGTTTGAGTGTATCTTGTATCAACAAGAAAATCCACACTATGCGCTCTCCACTATATACTTGATTTACATTTTCCCCAAACGCTGTTTCTGTACGAGAAGGACAACGAGCAAAACGTGACCAGCGCTGCAGAGACCCTGAACCCGGCTTGCAGAATGGCTTTTACTTGAAGATTTCTACCCCGTGAGCCGGAGCCCCAGTCTCAGGGACTCAGCACTGAACAGTTACCCACTACTTTACAGCGAACCCAAAGAAACCTCGGAAAGACTGAAACATGACCTACGCCCTCCCAAGGCCTAGCCCGCTCAGCACCAGGCAGGCACAACCGCAGCGCTACGCGGGGGCGAGGCGAGGAAACGCCGGCCCGAAGAGGCGCCCGCCCCTGCAGCTGTG